GTCCAGGAGGTGGGAGGGTCTGGGAGGGAGGGTATGCTGCTGATTGGCTGGAATGTGTCTGCTGACTGTGAGGTACAGGGTCAAAGTTTACCGCATATGTTCGCCGTCCGTGGCGAACCGTTCGGCAAACCGTTCGGGACATCACTAATGGTGACCTTAGATACAACAACCCCATACTCACCTTTTCCCCCACTACTTTTTCTTATCTTCTCTTTACTCCTTTCTGGATACATCCATTTCTCTTAAGGGACTATAATCTAAAAACTGGACATCCAATACAAGTAATTAGTAAGCAATACCACTGTATAACTGATTTTTACCCTGACTTGTTAAGGTATGCATACTTATAACCTAATGTGTAATGAAAAACATGGTGGTGATATTTGTGTTATACCTTTGCACGTCTTACAAAAATAAAGAATACAAAAAAAAGAAGGATTTAAGGCCCGTAATAGAACTTGTCCTTCTAAATAGGTACTGTATGGAGAATATGGAGCAGGTTGAAGGTGTGTGGAGGGAATATAGAGAAAGTTAACGGTTGAGGAAGATAATATGAGAAGCGAGATAGAAGAAGGGGAAAGACTTTGTAGAAAGTTTAAGGTATGGGGGCAGAATATAAGAAAAGGGACAAAAGATGGGGGAAATTATGGAGAGAGTTAAGGTATGGGGACATAATAAGACAACAGAGACAGTTGATAAAGGTACATTTGAACAAAGGGCAGAAAGTGGGGGAGAGAATCTGAAGCAAAGGACACTAGGGAGTATGAAAAGAGGGACACGACTGGGGTAAAGGGTGGGGGAGATGGAAAGAAATTCACTAGTAGGGAGTAATACAGGATAGATCAATGTTGTGACACAAGACGTTTCTGGCTGTGGAACTTTGTCATGCAGTCATATACAGTGAATATTGTATTAATGAGTCCGGCAGCAAAAAAACACATATAAGGTCTTCAACAGTCTCTGAATTGTTGCAAACTGAAAACCAAATTGCACAATTAAAGTGACACTGTGGACACCAAAACAACTTTAGCTTGATGAAGCAGTTTTGGTGTATAGACTATGCCCATGTGGTCTCACTGCTCAATTATCTACCATTTAGGAGTTAAATCACTTTGTTTATGCAGTC